TACCTGCTTGGGTGGCAGTTATGGTCTCTTTGGGGTATATTCCCAGTAGTGGAATTGCTGGGTCAAATGGTATCTCTATTTTCAACTTGAGAAAGTGCCATACCACCTTCCACAGTGGTTACATCATTTTACACTCCCACCCACAGTCAATAAGGGTTCCAGTTTCTCCACAACCTCACCAGCATTTGTTGCTTGCTGTGCTGTTAAATTTAGCTATTCTTACTGGGGTGAGATGATATCTCATAGTTGTTTTGTAACCTTTTTTTTTAAAGCTAAGTCTTTGGTAAAGTTGCAAAAAGTAAAGAGTAAACCTAGATTACCAAAATATTGAAAGCCTGAATGAATTCAGAAATCATAAATTTATAAATATAGGCAATGAAAAGAATTCTCCAGTGAGATTAAGCAATAGAGAAATGAGAAGGCTGGACTAATCCATAGAAATATAAGATCATAAAGAAAATGGGAAAGACAAAATGTCTTGGGAATCGTAAATGATATGATTAACTGTAGGATCTGGATTAAAAGAGGACAAAATGTAGCCAAGAGACGTAAAAGACTAGTGGACTAGAAAAAGTCTGGGTCCAGAGATCAAAGCAGCAGAAGAAATAAAACAAGAAAATGTTATGGTAAAAAAGAAGAGTTTCAAAATTTAAGACAGGATTTTAAGGTACAATTATCTACCATTAGTGGTGGTGGTGGTGGTGGTGGTTATTATGTAATGTTGAGTCAGAACCGATTCATAGCTGAAACTCCAGTGGGTTTCCAGAGGCAGTAGATTGCATGGGAAGATATTACCCATCTGTCTCCCATGGAGCAGCTTATATTTTTAACTATGTGCCTTCAGGATGGCAGCACAACTCATTACCACTAGGAAGCCAGAACTCCCTTGTTGTTGTATACTGTATAGTTGGTACCAACTCATAACTAACTCACCAGGAGATTGTTGGGGGCAGTAAAGCACAAGGGACTTAAATGCCCATCCTTCACTTATGGAGAAGCTGGTGGATTTATATTGCACACCTTTGTGTTGACAGTGCAACTCCTTACCACTTGGCCACATTTGCTCCTATTTCCAAAAATAGTCATCTGAGAATAATGTCATTACTATCACATACAAGCAAGATACTGATAAAGATAAGTTTAAAATGCTAGAACAGTATATACACAGAGAACTTCCAGAAGTTGAAGCTGAATTTAGAAGAGTCTGCTGGATCAGGATATCACTGCTGATGTCAGATAGATTCTGGCTGAAAGTAAAGACTACCAAAAGATACCTATTTTGCCTTATTGACTAAGCAAAGGCATTTTTTGACTGTGTGGATCATAACAAATTATGGTAATCCCAGAACAATTAATTGTGCTCATGCGAAACCTGTATCTAGACAAAGAAGTTATTGTGTGAATGGACAAGGGAGCAGTGGATGCTTTAAAATTAAGAAAGGTATGCATACACACCATGTATGCAGAGCAGATTATCCGAGAGGCTGGGCTCTATGAGAAGTGTGGCGTCAGGATTGGTGGAAGATCTATTAAGAATCTGCATTATGCAGATGACACAACCCTGCTTGCTGTAACTGAGGAGGACCTCATGCACTTGCTGCGAAGGGTCAAGGACTGCAGCCTTCAGTATGGACTGAGGCTCAGTGTCAAGAAGACAAAGA